GCAAAAAATTGAAAATTACTTTCCATAAACCATAATGTAAACACTGGTTTATAATTAACTATATTTATATAAAATGATTGACACTTATCAAATAACACTTTCAATAAACTAAATTAAATTAAAACAAATTTTGTAAGTTTTTTAATACACCAAAGACTTTGAATTAATTGTATACCTTAATTTATCCAAGTATTATTAGTTATCTAATTAGAAAATTCGATATTCTTTTAAATACAATAGCAATGTAATATTGTTTAAATGCATTTGCATTATACCTATAACTCCATCTGTTCGAAAATTATTCTCAACTAAACCTAAATTTATGCTTGTTTCCAATCAGACAGAACCCAGCTATGTACGATCTCAGAAACTTGATCTTGTTACAATTCCTTTGTTGGTTTATCTTTGATTTACATTATGCTGGATTTTGGATGTATTGGCTTACTAGATTTGACATGATTTTTGCATTAACACAATATTAATCTTATGGCTATTAGCGCAAGAATTAGTATAATTAATCAATAAAAAAATATTTATTTGTTAATACTAATCTTCAAAATATTGACTAAAAAATTTCAAATCATTTGGGTAAATTAGGGTAGAGCTTGAGGTGAAGTAGTAATGATATCGGTTTTAAGTTGAAAATATATATAGCAAAATGTTTTCAAGTGAAGCTCTCATCCGTTACTGCATCAATAAAATACTCGCCAAAAATTGTATCAATATAAATTATCACATTAAGATGAGACAACTGTTTGGGTGGCCACCTGTAAAACCGACGTAGTAATAAGTCAAGTTAGCCTAACAGCTTTAAAATACTTAATTTCTGATTGTTGCTAAAAAAAACGATATATCACAGCAATATTTTAGGCCAATACTCGTAGACATTGTCTAAGTTATACAAGAATATGTAAATACACATGGACAACTATTCATATACAGATACATTTCCAATTTACAAAAATAAAACTAGTCCAGATTTATAAAGCTCTAATAACACCAGTGCTCAATTTGCAAATCAAATTTAAACGGATAAAACTCCTCTTGTTGTTACCAATTATGTTCTATTACAATTATGAATTAAGAGAGGCCTTTCTCTTGACAAGATGTTTTCAGGGTGGAGCGAATGTCATCCAATTTCTTTATCAAGCATTTTGTTTCGCTTCCCTTCTGTAAAGTGAAGTACTTCCGCGACTGATTGTATAATCGTTGTCCAATTAGTGTCCTCACTCGGAAAGGTAATTGAAAAGTTAAACAACTAATGGAATTTTGATAGAGGCGCCGCTCTTTGAACTCCCGCAGTCGGTACACAGGTATCACAATCGAATTTAAATTTTAAAACAGGCGAGACTCTGTGAAAGGAAAATATATGGAAAATATTTATGTTAACAAATCTAATACGAATATATGTCGTAAAGATCTCACTGAAATTCATCTTAGATACTGCTTTTTATGTATTGTCAATTCTAAGAATTCGATATGCATTTTTGATTAGATTAAAATAGTCATAAAAAATTGTACCCATGGTAATGTAATTGTTCAAAATGTGACCACGAACTAGAACCGGATTTGATCAAATCTTGGCCAGCTTGATATCAATTAGTTGGATATGAAATTTTCTCTTGAGGTTATATATCTCAAATATAATGTCGTATCTTCAAAATAGACGGTTTAGAGTTAAAGTGAATATGGAAACTTTATCAGCTTGCTTAATTGAAGCAGGAGTCCCTATACAAGCGATTTTCCTACAGATGAAAATTTAACAACTGCCACATTTGCCGATGATTTTGCTATTCTATCTCCAGATCCTGATCCAGCATCGAGAAAGCTTCAGAGTCATCTAAGAGTCATTGAAGAATGGACTAGCAAATGGCGCATAAAAATTAATGACAATAAATCAACTCATGTAATATTTACACTCAACAAATCTTCTTGCTCAGCAGTTCAATTTCATGATAAGACAATTCCAGTTAAACACTCAACGAAATATCTCGGGATGATATTAGATAGCAACACATAATTCCAAAAATAACTCTAGTAAAAAATAGAGCTAAGGAACTCTACTGGCTCATAGGTAACAAGTCCAAATTACCTATTGAAAGCAAGCTACTAATATATAAAACAATAATAAAGCCGATATGGACCTACGGTGTGGAATTATGGGGATGTGAATTATGCGGTGTGGAAGAAAATCTCACATTGATTCAATTCAACGAGTTCAATCAAAAATTCTTAGACAGATCGTAAACGCTCCATGGTATGTCAGTAACAAAATTATTCATGACGACTTGAACATACCATTTGTGAAAGATGTAATTAGCAGTGGCAGTCATCGCCATTTTGAGAAGTTGGAATCTCATCCCAATGACATAGTTAAACATCTTCTTGAAGAACTGCGATCTAGGAGACTCAAAAGAGAAGTTCCAATTGATTTGAAGATAGATCAATTTTGATAAAGATCAGACTCAGCCTTTGATATATACCTCAGCCGGATTAGTTGACCACTCAATGGTGTGGCATCTATTGTAATTTTTAAAAATTCAGCCAATTTAATTATGTGTGTGTGTATGACTGTGTGTGAGTATGTTTACTGTGTGAGTGAGTACAAATATAAGCACAATAGCTCATAAAAATTTTAAAAATTCTGATTGCTGTTAAATAAAGTATAAAAAAAATGACAAGTGAGAATGGCATTTTGTGGGATTTAATGTTATGAATATATATTTATTACTATTATATATACATATGTAATGTATTCCACTCATGAAAAGGAGAATGTTCAGGAGAGAAAGAAGATGTACATCTTATAGAACTCATAGTTCTGATCGCTATTAAAATTAAATAAAAATATAAAACGAATGAAAATCCAAATTTAGCAGACTCCGTATTAAGGTTTTTTAAAAAGTACTTATTATTCTAAACATAAAGTATAAAAAATATTTTGACACCGTAGATCTTATTTTTGTTTTATAATATTTACATCTTTGATATTTTAAATTTAGTATTTTGCAAAACTTATATATTTATTGAGAAGTGTATTTTTCATTATTACCTTGCCGAAGGAGAGTTTATATTTCTGCCAAATAATCTGACTCGCCAATTTTATGTCTTTTTGATGTTTCAAGTCATTCTGAATTGTTTGATACCAAAAAGATGCGTCCACTTTTTTGCTAAAAATTCGGAACTGATATGTTCAAGAACATCAACAGGTAATCAAAATTAGTCGCAAAACAAAGATAATTTTATAATTAACTTTTATTTATCATCGTGCCGAGAATCTGTCACCAGATTAACAGTTTTTATAAAACTCTGCAACACGAAAGTTTTTATTTTGTGATTCTCTTTGCATTTAAAACCTTGTAAATGGTTTTCTTTAATTAGAATTTACTCTGTTTGCATTTATTTTTTGCGATGACAGAAAAGTTTCACGTCGTTTAATTAAAGTTGAATGTTTTAAAGTTTTAAATATTTTATATCATAACAAATGCAATTATTTGATCAACTTCTAGATAACAGATAAATTGATAGATTAAAATATAAAAGACATATTTTCGGATTTCACGGAAACACAAATATTAATTCAAATACATTAATAAAATGAGTAGATTTGAGTCGATCTAATAAATCTTTATTATATTGATCTTTAGTTAATAATAAATTCAAATATATATATATATATATATATATATATATATATAAAGATATATATAGATATATATATATAAATATAATATAATATAATTATTAATTATATATTATATTATATTAATATAATTATATAATATATAAATATATAATATAATATAATTACTAAGAAAAATATTTTACATTTTTTCTCTTTTCCACATCCAGCGTTGCTACTCTTAATAGATATGAATCAAGATAGAACAAATTTCTTTTTATTATTCTTTGAGTTGAATTATCAACTCTCCCGTTAAATTATGAGAATGATTTGTCAGTCTGTTTTTTATACTTCTGTCTATAGTTCCTAACGTATATCTACCTAATCCCATCTAATTTCTGATGAAATTAATTAAATATATCATACAGCATTAACATCTAATCAACAGAACATAATGATATTACAAAATAAACGTTGTCTAAACTATTTAAAATAATTTACGAAACTAATATAAGAAACATGTATACAGGAAGTCATATATTACTTATAAATATCTTATAATATGTGATGTGATTAAAAATCAAGCTAATAACTTTCATTATTATCAAAAATGGCATTTTACGGTAAAATAGGCGGTAACATAGCGTTGTTATGGCAACGGTATTTTGAACTGCTTTCTTTTTAATAAATGGTAGTAAAAATAGTCAAAATGCAATGTATTTGCTTTGCTTGAACATAAAACCTAACTTCACACATGTTATGATTACACATCAGAGAGATCATATGTAAACTATTAGACGTAAGACCTAATATTTGAACCCCACACATAGGAGAATGGTGAACCGATGGGTTGCCTCTCATAACAATACCTTAGGTCATGAGCCATAAACAAAAACAGCTTATTGAACATTAAAGTAAGAGTTCTGATTGCTGTAGAAACAATGAGAAAAAAAAAAACGTTAGAGGGATGCAGTTATAATATTTTTTTCTAAGCTTATGCGTTTTCTGGGTAAGGTCCATATCTCCAACTCCTGACTACACTGCAAATATTATGAAAGATTTTACTATGACATTTTTGACATAATTAAAATTATTAGCTTGATTTTTATGATAATCTTGTTTTTAATGTTAAGGTCTATTTTACAGGAGAATTGGCCGCTAAATCCAATATAAACAACTCTGTTAGCATGAGCTAATTGCAATAATAATATATTATCTTATCATCAATCTATAGCATTTATACTTTGATAGATATGAAGCCCTGAAATAGCTCTTAAAATTGTGTTTTTCTATAACATATATGTTCGTTTATAAGTTAAGAGAAATAAAAAAACTGCAAAGAGTATATTCCATAACACGTTCCATCTTTTTATTTCAGCAATTCTCGATTCGCTGTGCAATAACTTTCTTCCCCTGAACGTCTCTGCGATACTGTATCTGATGAACTACGAGCAATACGGTCGCAGTACGGCTTCCGCTCAATACTTCCTCCAGCTGGCAGGATACCTGGGGATACCGGTAATAGCATGGAATGCCGACAATTCAGGACTCGGTGAGTAACAGAATTAACAATTTAGAAACTGAAGTAAACGGATGATACATTAATTAGATTATGTGAATGATATCTTATCTATGCTGATATGTGTTTTTTTAATTTTAACACGTCGATATACCCTGCTTCTTTTCTGGTGCGGCTGTCGATAGTGACATCTTTATTTAAAATCTACCCCCAAATTATCACCATACTGGAAGCAACTAGTTAAAGGGCGTCATAGACATTACACTACGCGAACTGCTAGTATATGCTATCCGTTGAATATAGTGCTTAAACATAGAAGGGTATGTGACGCCACATGTCTGAGAGAACATTGCCGACGACAATCGCCGACTCTCCTTATAACTTTATACGGAACTTTATACTGATCTATCCATAGATGTAATCAGAATCCTTTTTATTTTGCAAAAAAAAACGATGTAATTTTTTTAAGAATAATCCAAACTATTTTTTTCTACTGTCTCTTAAAATAAACTGTTTTATATTCTTGAAGTAAAACTTCTTTAGGCGCGACTAGGGTGTAAATCCGAACAAATGCAAAGGAAGTGCGTTACGGCAGAGTCGAATGCCAATGATTCGTCATTCGTCTTTCGTTGTATGCGTACCGGAATCAACGTTGTATGCATACCTGCATCAACGTTGTATTTGTACCGATATCAACAAGGAAATTGACATAGATTAACATTTTAAACTTACACCATAGTACAAATCTTGATTTAATAAAAAATGCCTAAATCAGAAAAATATTTTATTCTTGAAAACAATAAAACAAATTAAACATTGATTAGAAATTATTTCTTTATTAATCGTAGTTTCTATAAATCTTTGAAGTTATTAAAATGAAAAATATTTTTAGGCAAGGCAGATATTACATCTGTTCAAAGAATGAGATTATACCGCCAGCAAAAAAGTTAAAAAAATACAAGCAGTCAATGAATGTATGCTAATTTTAATTACATGAAGTTCTTCAAACACAATTACATGATGAGAGAAGTTGCGAAAATAATATTTGTTTAGGCGTTTTTTAACATAATCCACTGTGTGAACGAATATTATAGAATTCATTAATCAGCAATTACTTCATTTCTCTAATGAAGGTTCATTTCTAAATGCTAATTACAATGACAAATCGATCATGTCATATTTGAAGTATGACTTTAATTACATTATTGTTTTTAAATGTTATACATATTTTTAATGCTACTATATACTATATAATGGTTGACACTAATAAATGTGTGCATCACGAGTGTTACCATATTACTAATAAACATTATTCAAAATTGTTACATGATATATTTATTTTTACTTAACTTAAATTTGCTACTTTGTACAGTAGCAAATAATTTTTACATCAATCGCGTGTGATCCTTACGCACACTCTTTTTTACATGTAAATGTACTGATCTAAAATATGTAATGATGAAGTATAATACCTAAGGTTAGACTTATGTACCAATCTACCATTATGTTATGTAGTTCTACTGTAAAAATATACAAAATTATATCAAAATTAAAAAAAAAACAATATAGATCCAAAAAAACCGCTGTCAACGTATTAAAGTAAAACGTTTCCGGTGGTCAGAACTAGGTCTAAACCCATTTCGACCAACTTTATATCAAGCAGTAATGTATCAGATTATGCATACATTAAATATTGTGGAAAAATCATTTAGAGGGCATTACTGCAATATATAACATATGCGTTTTAGGAAACAGATCTAATAAAAATCTTATCAGATAGACAAAAGTCAACTTGTGCATTGAATTCTAGTAACACTAGGCTAATCATTCACATAAGCTGATGCAAAATCTAAATACATCTATTATTTTTTGAATGATTGCATATCAAATTTTATTCATAACTATATATGTATTATAACTTAATAAACATTAAATAATTTATTTATCATATTGATGTTCAAATCAAATCAATAGATTAGAAAAAACGTATCTTAAGGCTCTTATGATTATTCATAACAAAATTTAACCAGAGGTTGTAATAAAAAGATCTTCGTGCTTGATTGAATATATTCGTATGTTTTCTCATAAAACTCAGTCGGTCTGAAAATACAATTTCAGAGGATATTTGGGTCAAATATAAAAGAACCATAACCGAGCCTTAAGCATAGTTTTGTTATTTTTTAATTTGAATATATTTCAATAACTCAAAATTCAAAAAGTTTTACAACAGGCTATAAAATTATTTCTAATATTAATGTTCACATGTTGAAAATATTACGATAGTTTTTCAACAGTGTGCCAACAAGCCATTTTTACATACTAAATATCAACGGCTACTTTAAAATAAGCAACGCCATCTTTTTGAAAAATTCAGGATCACGAATACCGATATCGAATTCATTGATCATTTATTTACCTATTTCCACCAGAAGTGGCAGCTCCATATAAATAAATTGCAATGAATTCAAAATGTCTTTTCTCTTTGCAAGTTCCAGAAGTACACATTCCGGATAGATAACTTGTGAAATGTGGCATTATTGTGTAATGTTTAAAATTTTGGTATTTTTTATCTGTTAAAATTTGCAAATTACTGCTTTCAACTATATACGATGTTTTTCTAAATATTAATCATTTTCATGGAAATTACATACCATGTTGCAAAATGTCGACAATATAGTCTGAATTTATTATTTTTGTATGATCAATTTACCATGTGAGACATTTTAATAAGGTAATTTGTATTGTAGGTCATATTTTTATATGATTTAAACTTAGCTATAAATTCGTAGTTTTAACATAATTTATATAATTTTTTTTTTTTTTTTTTTTTTTATTTCTCTTTATTGAATTACAAACTGTCTTTATAAAAAGGAAGACATTCAGTAATTTCGATGATAAATGAAATATTAAAACTTAGTTCTAAAAGGTTACCCAGTAGTAAACCTTTTCAATTTTGATATTTTGAATTTAAAAATTGAAAATACAATGATTATATAGAGTAAACTTAAAAATAAAAAGATCTATGAGGTAAATGAGTATAAATTGTGAATTATAACAACAAATAAAAAAGACATAACTAATAAACTAAACATAACATAAAAATAAATAAACATATAAATAAACAACTAAATAAGTAGTACTTCTAATTGGAATGAATATATTATATATTATGTGGAGGTCAATATGTCGGATCCGTCGAGGGGGCGTTTTCTTTTTAGCCGTTCAATGCCGTGCGACTTCAATAAATTCTTGGCCAGAATATTTGGATGGTTTTGTACTCTGCTCTTATATTTTTGACTAATTAATTTAATTTCTTCATCAATAGTATTTATGTTTAGGTCTTGATGGACTAACCAGTTTGGTGTGTATTTGGGGGCGTTTAGTATTTGTTTCAAAAATTTGTTTTGGAATCTTTGTATAATTGCAATATTAGATTTACGCGCTGATTTATATAATTTAACAATTATTAATATATCGAATCATATAAGTAATGGAACTCATATTCTAGTTGCAGTATTACGCAATGGAATAATATTTTTAGATACACTCCCATAACGTCGTCAATAACTTTTATCATTTTCATGAGCAACATTCAAGTGCATCATAATAAAAATAAATGTAAATAAAATAATCATTTCTATAATAATGTCACTGCATTTCTACTCCGCGTTTTCTTCAATAATCAGAACACACGACAAAATAGCACTAGAAAGATACTTGCACATAGCTCGAATGCTACTTCAATTATAATTTTGATTTTCAATTTTGATAAGCTAAATCTAGGAAACTCTTTATGACTAGTCAGTACGTATTCTGAGATCGTGTTTTTGATAATGTTCTTGCGCATTTCATTCAATTTAACTCAAAGTAGAAAATTGATAACCTGGAGACATTGAAATTGTTGGTATGATAGCATAAGCTAAATCACTTCTGTTTTGTTTCAATTAAAAATCGTAAATTTTGTTTATTTTAGTACAATCAGTAACTTGGGTGAATATATTTAAATGCCTTATTTAGTCCATTGTATATACCTACTACTGATCACATGGTGAACCATATTGATCAACGAACAAAATAGTTCACTTTTAGGTCAAGCATAAAATGGTATCTAACTTTATTCTATTTACTTTTTTTTAACTAATCTATGATGTACAAATATAATAAAAATGTAGACTGAATATTCTAATAATTCATAACAGAACAAAGATATTAAATTTAAGACAGAACCAAACATTTTAAATTAATCCATAAACATTTTCTAATATACTATTTTAAATTTTTGTACAGTCATCACTAAAAATTATTGGATACATAAATAAATAAATTTTAGATATTTTTATGAATTTAAGATTTGAATTTTTATATGTAAAAAAATGGCTCATATAGTAATAATTATTTTTTTCTGAAACTTTATTTTTAACTTCCCGTAGGGCAAGTTATAGTAATCGCAAAAAAATCGAAAATGAAAATTTTTATATATCTTTACGTTTCAGAGGTTTCTGAACATTTTGGCATACCTTAGAAAAAATGGATGTATGTGTGTGTGTGTGTGTGTGTGTATGTGTGTGTGTATGTATGTATGTATGTATGTGTGTGTATGTATGTGCGGATACAAATTTTCGTCGACGATTTCGGGAACACGGATCAACCGATTTGAATAATTCAAAAAACATTCGATCCGTATTGATAAGGAGACGTGCTGATTAGTTTTTGGCAAAGGCAGGTCAAGCCGTTCCGAAGATACGGGGCAAAAAGTTCCGAAAACGGTAACTCAGTTTTTAAGAGAACGGAGCGTCCGATTTTAATAATTCAAAAAACATTTTATTTGTATTGACAAGATGAAGAATCGATACAACTTTCATGAAGGTAGGTCCAGCGGTTTCGGAGATATAGAGGAAAAAGTAAAAAAATGAGCCATTTGGCGGTCAAAAATGATCATTAGACATATGCACATCAAATTATCAGACATTTTATAGAGATTTTAACAATAAGTATACATTTTGTTAACATTCCTATCGGTTCCGTACCAATGCTTATGCGTTAGACAGCGACGCGGCGCTTACGCGCTTTATATTTTGTCCCTATGTAGTTAAAGCAGTACGATTGCTTTGAAAAAAAAGTTCAGATCTTCCACAATATGTCAAAATAAAGAAAAAAAAATTTTTTTCAAAAAAAACAAATTTTTAAAAAAAAAAATTTTTAAAAAAAAATTTTTTTTTTCAAAATAAAACTAATTTTTTGTCCAATTTATAGTTTCTCAAAAATCTTATTTTTTCAAAGTAATTTTTTTTCAAAAATGTTAATCGTTTTAAAAAAAAAATAATAATTTTTGGTACGGGAAGTTCCAGCAATTTGCCTTAAGGCACGATGCCCTAATTGCCTTAAGACAGAATTCCACTTACAGCTAGTTTTTGTTTGAGTTGAGTCGTTTTTCCTAACATGCCCTTGTAGTATACAATGACCCTTCTCGGCCGACTAATGTAAATTCATCTAATTTATTGAATGTCCTTTACTGGACAGTTGTAAATAAAAGAGATAATAAAAAAAGTGCAAATCAATTTGTTGTCGTATTTTCAGAATATCCCAAAATATAAATTTTGTGTAAATGATTAACGTACAAAAATGTGCGTTTGGCAATTTTTTTATTTGTAAACTGTTTAAAACACGATGATGTATTGACCCTGATCTTAAAACAATAAAACAAAGCATAACATCAGACTTGAATTGATTTTCATAAGAAATGAGAAAAATTGATTTTCATAAGAAATGACGTAAATTGGCTCTTATCCAGTCAGCACTCATCTCGTTTAAAATTTTCTGTAGAAAAATCTACTGTCTTACTAAAAATAATATCATTGGAGTTGATATTACGTATAAAATGATACTACATTATGCTTCAATTTATTGTAATTTATTTCAAAGATGAATACCTATGGAAAAAATAGTTTGATTTTTCATACATTAGTTATTTTATTCTAGTATATTCAATTTTTGCAAACTTCTTGTTGCACATCAGTGCTCGAGGGTTCTTTTTATTTGCAATTATATTTTGGATCTGCATTTTTGAATAAATGTATATAATTACTTTCTGATATCATGTTTCATGTAACATGCAGGATTTGATCTCAGTAGCTGCCCGAATATAAGTTGAATACTTGCTCAAAAACAATGATTTTATCTGTGATTGCCAAAATGCATACGTATTCAAAAACATCCCCATAGTTACAAAATTGGATTTGGATCTACGTACACGCAATAAAATAATGTCAAACCATCTAGAACATTTCGGCAATGGCTGTTGCGGTTTCCAATTACATTTGGTCAAATTCGCCAGAACGTTTCTGTGGCTTATGCATTCAGTGTATATATAATCCTACTTTGTCGGAATTCCTCTGAGCAAATCTGTGTATCTATGTGCAATGTAAAACTGAACAGACTAGATCAATATATTGCACTATAAACTGTTTATCTATCTACATCCATTGAGATAAAAGACAATAATCTGTGTCAATATGGAAAATCAATATCAGGAAAATAGGAATACAGTCAACCCTCGGTTTACACGGTACTCTGGATATACGGTTCCCATACTACGCGGAGCTAAAAATCCGACATCTCTCCGACTACATGGTTATTGTTCAGCAGCTCATAAGTTTCTTGCGAAACCTATGAGTGATTCTAGTAACTTGATATCAAAAGGGTATTAATGTAAGTTTTGATATCGCCTTTTATCTTTTAGACATGCCTGATTATATAGTAGCTCTCTAAGAACACGTTTGAACTGACTCCTGCGTCGCGCTAATTTTTGAATGAGGTGTCTATTAAAGTTTATACAAAACCGACATTTCAGAAAACCGGTTTTCGAATTTTAATTTGACTAAAAAACCGGTTTTAACCGGTTTTCGAATTTTATATAGAAAATAAATTGTTGCTCGAATATTCTGCAATTTATCCGCAAATTTAGTGTAATTTAGAATAGTATTTGACTGAATTTATTTATTGTTCAATTTCATAGATAGCAAAACAAAATTATTTTAATTTTTATTAGTAGAACTAAAGAATAATAGTTTATCTTGATTAAATAACTTTGAAAATAATTATTCGTTATTCATGCATCATTTTCACATATAAGAATGAAAATATTTTTATGATAGTGAAAGGAAAGTTTTCGAATAAATAAAAATAATACATTTTTAAATAAAAAAAGATTAATTAAATAAAAATAATAAAAAATATTGGATACATGTTGATACATACTTGATAATATCAATTTTAGTTTTAAAAACAATTAAACTAAACTTTTATTTCTATTCCGACCAACTTTAATTAATTAATTTTAAACATTCTAGTTGATTTTTGTTTAATAAAATATGATTTAAAAAAATTGAGAACGTCTATCGAATTGCTACTTAAACGTGTCCTTTGTTTACTCACAAAATTTCCTGAAATAGAAAATACTCTCATACTTGCGACCAAATCATGCTTAATTGTTTTTAAATCCTGATATAATAATTCTATGTTTTTTGTTGTTGAATTTGTAGCTTCTAGGGTTTAAAACTCTTTTTTTAAGTTTGAGTAGAGGAAGTTATATCTTCAAGAAGTTAAACTGATTTAAATTAATACATACACTGGTATAAAAATATCAATTATAATCATAATATTAATATATACATTAGTCAAAAGCTAACACAAAACCATTCTGAGAACCATTGCAGACTGATAAGATTCCAAATGCTATTGAACCGATATGATTTCAAGAATCAAATCGCTTTCATCTATCTTTTATATTTGGCTATATTTGTCATTTTCCATTCATACAGTGAAAACCTACTTTTTTCACTAAAAAACCGGTTTTCGAAATCCATAATTTTCACAAAAAAAACGGTTTTTAAAACCGGTTTTTGAAAACCGACAAACCCTAGTGTCTATGTCATACATGTCGTTTCGTCCAAATTACTCCTACTGTAAGTTGGAAAAAATTGTGCGATTTGTACTAATTCTGAGTCTCTCATAGCGCGGTTCCCATACTGCACTATATAAGGTTTCATAGAACGCACTACGAATTAGCCTGAATTGTATGTTAAATACGAGTTTTTTATAGCACGATCCCCATACTGCACGCACTTACCGCGTAAAGCGAGAGTTTACTGTACATATTTTAACTTGTTTACAAAATGAGCATGTTTTCTATTGATTGAACGGCAACCTGATTGAATAGTTATATGAGAATCCAGTTGCCCTTAGTTCTAGTTAGTGTTTGTATCTAATTTAAAACGTTATAAGGTTCCTAAATGTATGATATCTTTACTCTTACTAACTGACCTATAAATTTTCCCTCAGAAACAACTTTTATCATTCTGTCCATCTCAAAATCAATCAGTCCATCAATATGTTATCTGTCTGTGTCTATTCTAGAACGTCGGGCCTCTCAATCGACGCTTCAGCTCCAATTAGCGCCTTCGATCGAACATCAGACTGCTGCCATGTTGAGCATCCTGGAAAGATACAAATGGCACCAGTTCTCGGTTGTGACATCGCAAATTGCCGGACACGATGACTTCATACAGGCAGTCAGGGAGAGAGTATCCGTCATGCAGGTAATAAAATACTTCTTTTTAAATAAATAATTGCTTTTTGAAAAATGTGTGATCAGTATGAAAAAAGATTTTTGAAGTAAATAAGCAATGCAACGAAAATTCGTTCCGCCACAAATTTATGCGTTAACTCATTGGTCATCGATATGATCATTCCAAACGATTTGATATAATTGGTACAAGTCTTCTTATCATCGTCTTTGTCAATTGCGAAAGGTCAAATGTCAACCTATAATTTAAGGTCATGTCATTAAATTCTAGATTTAATAAAAATAAAAAACGTAGTAGTACTTACAGATCATATTAAAATATTACGACCCTACGTCAAGTCGCTTAATTTTAAACATTCTTCAAATTAGTTGGTATCGTTTTTTTGGCATTTGTCAAAATTAGATCTTTCATTCACGTTTGCTAAAAAACGCCTGAACCAATTTCAGAAATTTAAAAGCCATTTGAAGTGTCTCAATGAGGAATATCGTTTGTCAGTTTTGTGCGACGATCTGCCTAGCCGTTTCTTTGTAATTTGGAAAAATGTTAAACTTTTTATTCACGTTTAAGCTCATATTACCAAATCAATTTAAAAAAATCAAAAACCGTTCAAAAGATATTAGTTGGGAATGATACTGATTAGTTTTAAGTGAAAATCTACCAAGCCGTTTTCATGTAATTAACGGTTGAAAAAAAATTAAAACGATTCGTATGGAACTTTTTTGGCGATATATACCATGGTCTTATAGAACTTACTGAAATATTACGGTCTTACGACAAGTAGTTTAATATTAAAAATTCATCAAAGTTTGAAAAACTTAGTATAGTTTTTTTGACGTTTGTTAAAATTAAAATTAGACGATTTACATGGTATAACGATAGAGTACTTAGGTCTTAATAAACATACTAAACCATTAAAGACCTACTGAAACTGATTCAGTTATAAAAAGTATTGATTTTTAAAATTTTGCTTATAGAAAATACTCCAAGTTAATGTGTTTGTTCGTTTTCAATTATTTATAATGAATCCTCTCGAAATACTTTTAATCACTCACAAATTAATTTATTATTTATTGATTAAATCGATAATTTACATATATCGGAAAGTTTATATAACTTGTTTAATATTTTTTGAACAATTGTGATAAAGACGAATCAAAATAATGATATTTGTTTTATTAACTATACAGCATGGCTATCAAAATATGCAATTTTTAACTTCTATCAGAAATATTTTTTTCAACAAAATTGAGAAAGTTATGTGCATAAAAATCAATTAGCAAAGTATTATAAAAAAAATTGTTCCAAAATCTAACAAAATATGCTTAAAAACAAAATTTTATTTTAATACATAAATATACTTCTGTGTCTACAAAAATAATGTCCACAATTTTGTACTGCCATCATCACAGTACGTTCCAAGTAATTACGCTACTGAGAACAAATCTTGTACTTTATTCTGAACATAAATTGCTCAAATTACGTCGTAAATGTCGTAAAATCTGAGACTAGTTTTATTTGATGCCACCCTATAAAATTGTCTGTCAAATTAATGTGTAATAAAATACTATAGATATTATGTGACATGTTGAGGAGGTTATGGAAGATGATTCATAAAATACCCGTGATGGGAAGGGTCATATTTTTAATAGATAAAATAGTTTTATAGTCTTAATCTTATTAGTAATTTTAACTTTTACTACGGGTATTACTATTACTAATAAAGAAACCTATTCAATGTTCATTTAATCTCTTCTGTAGTTAGAATTTGTGTGAATTTCTACTCAAATATCTGCTTTTCTTGTAAGCTTAATGAAGTCTCAAATACTCCACCGTAGCTTACAATTTGCTTGAAACTTCTAGCATGTTTAATCCTGTATTTGCATTATCCGTTCTGCAGTCGAAATGTGGTTTGTTAACTGTACTAATTAATTCAGATTTACTGAAATGGTATGTAATATAAATTATGAGAATTTCTATGTACATTTTATATTGCACTAGCTTTATTGTTGTAGCAAACTTAAAATGGCTTTCCAAAAAATTTAGAAAGTTTTTTCTGGCAAATTTAAAATGGAACACATAATATATCTTATTTGATGAGATGTTCATTTTTTCGGTTTCTAAATTGTTTCACACCAAAATTGGCAAAAGTGACTATTTTTTTAGCCTAAATTCCACCTCTCGTTGACCATTAATCAAAGCTTAATGAGAAACTTCTGCTTCTGCTAAGTAGTGTGTTTGTTCATATTTATAATTGTAAAATATGTCTACAGTTTTAGATTAAAAAACTGAAAAGTTGTTAGTTCAAAATCTAGGTGAGTAAGTTTTGGTAAAAATCGGTAGGACCGTTTTTGGGTAATTAATTACTGAGCATTTTTTGACGATTTTAACCAAAATATGCATACTAATAGTTCACGTGTCTTGAACTATCATTTCAAAATAATATAGGTATACGAAATGTAAATACAAAACGTTATCAAAATTTTGAATAATGCCATTTTGTAATTTTAAAATTCTGAATAACCACAGATATTGTGCATTTAAACACAATTTTATAGAAGTTATTCGATCAAAATTGGGAATGGTTTCATTATCATTTTCTAATAGAAATTTATAATTTATTATTAATAAAATTTAATAAGAATCTTTATATATGTGAGACGAAAAAAATAAAAATTGAGTAATATCTATCTAAAAAGTGAATAAATAAAATTAATCATATTGGTGTTATTGGAGGCAATAATGATTATTTTCTTATAATTTTGATCAACAATTACATGATTTTACTATTCTTTTATTTAAATCTTTCATAACAAAAATTTGCTTCGAAATTTGAATTTTCAATTGGAATATTGTACATGACATCTTTCGTTAATTCATTATTTTTGAACAATTTACAACATTTTCAGAAAATGCACAATATTTAGCCATAATTTTCAGATGATTCATTAAATTTTCATATAAGCTTCAATATTGTCATAAAATTTGCTATATTTTCAGGCTACTTATAATATCACCAGACAACATAAAATATTTACTAATTATTTGAACATTTGGACTTCTCAGATAAGGTACAAAATATTACGAATTACTTGCAATTGTGTCAAGCAATTTCTGACAATCTCATATAATATACTAAATTTTCTATGAACTTGCAATGAGTTGAGTTCCAACAGTTATGAACAATTTATAGCATTTATGTATAACTCGCAGATTTCTAGAAAAATTGTAATATTTTAATTCATTTTAGGTAATATACCTTCATACAAATTACAATATTTTTATGCAATTTATAGCAATCCCACCTATTTACAATATTAATAAACTATTTGCATCGTCTTCTGACAATTTTTGATACTCTCATATAATTTATAAAACTTTGATGCAGTTTGCAATATTTTCGGACAAATTATAACTTTTACAGGCAATGCAAAATACTTCCAAACTCCTGGCAACATTTTTAGGTAATTTATAACAATTTTATACAATTTACAAGATTTTTAGACAATTTAGAGAATTTTCATCCAATTGTTCAATATATTCATGAAATTGATAAAATCCATACTTCTAACTGACTTACAGCATTTTTAGGCAAAACACGAAATCATTTACGAATCATTTGCAACACTATCAGAAAATTTATTTACTCTCATACAATAAACAGCATATTCAGTCAATTTTTGCATCTTCATACAATTGTTCAATATTTTCTTCTAATTTGCAATATTTTTAAATGACTTATAGCATCTTTAAACAATTTATATAATATAATAATACAAAGTATACAAATCATTTACAGCAACTATAGGCAATGCATTACGATCTCATACCAAAGACTACATTTTCAGACATTTTTTAGAATTTTCATACCATAGTTCAATATATTTAAGAAATTTGCCGCATTTCCAAATGACATATAATGTTCAAACTTATCTTAACAATCTTCAAACTTATTTTCAAACAATGTAAAAAAATCAACTTCAGACAATGCATGACTATCTCATGCCCAACACAATATTTTCAGGCAATTTTTGGTATTTTCATACAATTTCTACTGTTCAATATATTAACCACATATGCAATAGCGTTGAATGACTTACAACATTCTCATACAATAAGCAAAATTCCGAAATAATTTGCAACTTTATCAGGCAATGCATGACAATCTCATCCTACTTGCAATATCCTATGCCTATTAGCAAAACTTTCAGATGACTTATACGATTTTTGCTCGATGTGCTACAATTTTGTCCTTTTCGATGGCAAATATTTCACCCTAAACTGCCCCGAACGTTTAATCCTTTATTTGCATTATCGATTTTGGCTTCGCCTGTCGGATCACTTAACCGCATTAATCACCACGAATAGGATATTGACTAGTCAATACTCTGTTCCATTTGCCAAATTAATTGAGCTACAATATAAAGTTCGTGTTCGGATCACTCGTGTTTTACGAAATGCCATTACATTGTTCTACATCAATCTTTCCAAAGCTCCCTGTTTTTTTAATTAAAGATTTTATCTCAAACTACATGAAAGAGCGAAAGAAAAATGGAACTTAAGAGAAGTCTTTTGTTAAGCAAAGTAGTCTATTGTGAAATGACTTGGTCTACAGCTTTGATGATGATTGTGATGATTCATGTGGAGATTTTTTTATGATATCCTGTACAACATTGCTTTAAATTAATTTTAGTAGTGATAAATCTACGGTATGTCTCAAACTGACATTCAACTAGAGTAAGAATGCTTCTGGAATGTGCTTTCGTGTAATGGTTAGATGCAATACTATCCACAAAATTTAATTAAATTTTAAACTATTTATATAGAAGTGTTGGTGTTTAAAGATTTTTTTAAATTGTGAACTGTTTTACCCTGAATCCAGTAGGTAGTACTGCCCATTATCATTATCAAAAGTGTAAACAATATTTATATCATTTGCAACATTATCAGGAAAATTTATGGCTTATAAAATAAACAACATTTTTAGTAAGTTTTTGAAATCTTCACAGATATGTTCAATATATTCATGAAATTTCCCACATTTTCAAATATCTATTTCAACATCTTTAGACATTTATAAGTTCAATATTTCTAATCATATTTAGTATACTATTGTATTTATTTTATTTGAGTATTATTTATTGTACTTGAGCTTTTTGAAATTATAATGCTAATATGAGCCTTTTGAGTATGTTTGACGGTAGTTTTATTATTAACGTTTTATAACGCACGATATTAGTTAATTATTATCACATTCAAAAATGTTAGAAATTAAAGATCAAAATGAAGCATAGAAAATTTATTTTAAAGTTGCATTTGTTAATTAATGTAACGTAAACTTACTTAGGTATTATTAAGTCACATATATATGCATTATATCACTTTTATTTGCAGTATATGATGTTTATCGGTAATTTGGTAATAATTTCAGTCTTGTTTCATTCTGATAGAAAACTATATGGAGCACATTTGCTCCAAGTCAGAATTTTAGCGTGCCATGACATATATAATGTAAAAAAATGTATAAAATTATCTTTTAGATTGATGTCTAATAAATCATCATAAATTATTATACTATTGAGTATTAATCAAATAAACATACAGTTATTTATGGAATGCACTTCACAATAATTTATTTTAGTAAAATGATTAAAGCTAAGTCTAATTGATCATTTCTTATTTTACACTTTTTCTGATTCAAGTTTTAAATATAAACTTCCTTATAAGAGTTAACATAAATGGTGCTTTAAGTGACAATAATTGTCCAAGTAATCTGGATCTATTTTTAGCAGATACGCCACTGGATGTAGCTGCTAATTTCCAGTCATTGTTTTTGTTCCATATATTGTATCTGCTCATAGTATGTGAAAACAAAATTGCATAATAGAGATAAATGCAAAATTATTAATGAATTTAAAGTAAAATGTAGCCAGTTTACTGAAATTGCTATACCAATGCCCAATTTCGTAATGATTTATGATGATTTATATATAAATTGTGTTCCCGAGTCTACTAATGCCAGGTTTAGTACCAAATTTATATGATCAGAAAAATAATAATGAATATAGATAAAAATTTAAAATAATAAATTTGGGGCAAATTGTCTATTTTGCTAAGGTGAGTTCTTGTTTAACTGTAATATTAACAAAATCTATGAAAACCTGTGAATCATCAAGAATATGATTGGCCCGGCCGATCTCTACCAAAAACTCATCAGCACGATTCCCAACCAATATCTTTCGAACGGTTTTTGAATTTTCAAATTTGATTCAGAACTGCGGGATAAAACGTGGACAACAAATTTTTCATTTTTCTATGATTTACAAAGCAACGGTTCGGCGGATCGTAGCGCACAACTGGCAAACGATAGTCCTCATCGAAATACATCGAATGGCTTTTAAATTTTTGAAATCGGTTGAGTCGTTTTTGAGCAAACGTCGATTTACGGCAAAAAATCTGTTCACATACACACATACATATACTTTTTCCAAATTTGGTCTCATTCGATTCAGAATGGCTTGAAACGTCGAGAAAACATAAAATTAGCGAATCGGATTTTTTAATGAAAACATTAACTCCCTCAGGAAGTTAATAATGAAAATAGATAAGTAGAATTTAAAATATTAAATTTGGTGAAAATTGTCTGTTTCGCTGAGGTGAGCAATTCTTGTTTAACTGTTATATGTACAAAATATATGAGAACCTGTGAATCATCAAGAAGATACTAATGATTTGAAGCTAACAACTTATCGAGTAGAATATACATTATTAAAAAATTAATACCAGCTGCATTAATAGGATCTAGATTGCAGCAACCCTTGCTTTCTAAGTTTTTCTCTACAAATATTCTTTATCTATTTCCAGGATCGTTTCAAATTCACCATCCTGAACGCTATCTTGGTAACCAGTCCAAAAGCCGATTTAGTGGAATTGGTTCAATCGGAATCCCGGGTGATGCTCTTGTACAGCACTCGGGAGGAGGCGAGCGAGATCCTCCTGGCCGCCAGAGATCTACAGATCACCGGCGAGAATTACGTGTGGGTGGTGACGCAGAGCGTTATCGAAAATCTCCAGACGCCCTACCAGTTTCCAGTGGGAATGCTTGGTGAGTTGTTAACTGAGATTAGAACTGAATTTTAAATAGTTGCTTTTCTGCTGGGAATTGTTGGTTGTGGAGTCGATAATACGTATAGTTGTATAAGACTTAGACTTATAAGTTGTATAGTTGTACCTTATATCGTAGTTGTATAAGAAACAGGATTTGATTAATTTATTTTGTTAACATTCATACTCATGGCTGTTGCAACGTTGATATTCATGAGAGTAGTATAAGGTCGACCAAAAAAAATTCGCTGGCTGATTTCAGGCGTTTTTTTTCTTTTTTTTTGAAAAATGCGTAATTTTGAAAATTTCTTTTTTTTCTAAATTTGTTTTTAAAATTCCTGTCTTTTGGCTTTCAATTTTTTAGTTGTTGATATTGATCTAGACAAAAAATTTTTTTAAGGAAAATTTAAGATTTCTTTGTGTGATACAGCACTGAGCCTGTCATGAACTCTATGTATCTAACTATTAGTATCTATTTTGTCTCGGGCAAACTGATATCAAGTAGTTAAACGCAACCTGATTTCAAGTGAAAATAGGCCGTTGCTGCAGAAACACAGCTAGATCAGATGATTATTTCAATTATCTTCTAATAGTAAAAAATA